CCCAAACCTAAACAAAAACACGCCACAATTTTAGAATCAGCCCCCAAACAATCATTTTCTTGTTTTCCGGGTCATAATAAATGAAGAATTTACTTATGAGCTCCTTTTTTTTTGTTTGTTTTCGGTGTGGGGGAGGCACACTTGAGATACTCCTGGCTCTTATGCTCAGGGATCACTCCTGGGGCACCGGGAAATATATGGGGTGCCGAGGATCGAACCAGGCCCAGCTATAAGCAAGGCAAGTGCCTTACCCTCTAAGGACTCTCAGGACCTAGAGAGAGAGAGAGAGAGAGTGTGTGTGTGAGAGAGAGAGAGAGAGAGAGAGAGAGAGAGAGAGAGAATGTGGATATCTGTTGAGTATATGTGTGTGTGTGTGTGTGAGAGAGAGAGAGAGAGAGAGAAAGAGAGAGAGAGAGAGAGAGAGACGGGCATGTGCGCATGGGCATTGGGGGCAGGGGGTTGAACATTCAGTTGAGAAGAAAAAGCATTAAAACTGGGACTGAAGTGATAGTACAGCTGGTGTGGCTCCGGCCTTTGCTTGCACCGACCCAGGTTCAATTCCCGGGCCCCCTGAGCCCAGCCAGAAGTGATTCATGGGTGAGGCAGAAGTAAGCCCTGAGCACCATTGGGTGAGGTCCAAAACCAAAAGAAGAAAGAAAAAAAGGCTAAAACAGCACCAAATAGTGACATTTCAAAGTGTCCACACGATCTTGTCCTTCCTGGCCATCAGATCGCCACTGCTGGCAACCCTCCAGGCTTGGGACCTGGGAGATAGCTCAGTGGTTAGGGTGCATGGATCTCGCCACACTGAATGCCTAGTGTTGGAGTACAAGGAGCTTAGGTTTGTCAGGTTGCACCCATCACAGTGCTTCTGACACCTAGTACTCTCTGCCCTGCCCCCACTTCATTGCCCAGGGTTACCCTCAAGGCTTTCATCCTTTCATCACTGGACCCTTGGCTGGTTAGCCAAGGATGGCAGTGAGCAGCCCTGTGTGCCTGGGGCCCTGCTTGGGAGCCCCTTCTTACCACCCCCGCTTCATGCCTTTGACTAAAATGTTGATACTTCTCTGAAGTGGGCAAGCAGATGGGGGCGGGGGGGCGGGTTGCTGACAACAATTTCCTCAGAAAGTAATAAGCCAAAATGTGCATCAAAGGACTTGCTCTATCACTGACCTAAAGTAGTCAAGAAAGCATGAAGGGGCTGGAGCGATAGCACAGCGGGGAGGGCGTTTGCCTTGCACGCGGCTGACCCGGGTTCGATTCCCAGCATCCCATATGGTCCCCTGAGCACCACCAGGAGTAACTCCTGAGTGCAGAGCCAGGAGTAACCCCTGTGCATCGCCGGGTGTGACTCAAAAAGAAAAAAAAAAGAAAAAAATAAAGAAAGCATGAAGATCTGACCCACTTTGTGGGCGCAGGAACCCAGGCTGATAAAACTGGTCCCAGCATCCACCCAGGAAGTCTGGACCCTCTCCAGTGAGAAGAAGCTCCAGCCAGAACTTATCAGAGAGGCTGTGATAAGAACCAGAATGTGAACCACCCAAATAGCATGCGCTTCCCTAGCTACAGACTCCTATCTACATAGAAAGCCCCAAGCGGAAAACCCAGTAGAACCAACATTGTAGAGGCCGTGGGGTGCACGTCCATCCTGGGGACCCTTTCTTTGTTTCTAGCCCTTACTAAACACCGCACTAGAATTGGGTTCCAAAATCTTTTTTTGCATTGTTTGGCTTGGTTCTGGGCCCACCCAAAGGTACTCAGGGCTTTGTACCCTGGGATCTACCTGATGGACTCTGGAGCCATTCGGGGTGCTGAAAATTGAACCTGGGTCCAGGGCACGCAAGGCAAGTGCCCTATCCGCAGTACTATTGAGCCTGCCCAGAGAAATCCAAATCTTTTTTTTTTTTTAATTTTAATGCAATCCAAATCTTGGATAGTTTATTCCTTCTGCTTCCTGGAAGCCCAGCATAGGACTTGACATAGAGTTAGTAGGTGCTCAGCAAATATTTTATTTATTTATTGCTCGAGGCCCTCCTGTTGATCGTCGATTTGCTCGAGCGGGCCCAGTAACGTCTCCATTGGAGACTTTGTTGTTACTGTGTCTGGCATTTATTAAATGTTTTTTTTTCTTTTTGGGTCACACCCGGCGATGCACAGGGGTTACTCCTGGCTCTGCACTCAGGAGTTACTCCTGGCGGTGCTCAGGGGACCATATGGGATTGCCGGGAATCGAACCCGGGCCGGCTGCGTGCAAGGCAAATGCCCTACCCACTGTGCTATCTCTCCAGCCCCTATTAGGTAAAGGTAAAGGCCCTCCCGTTGATCGTCGATTTGCTCGAGCGGGCCCAGTAACGTCTCCATTGGAGACTTTGTTGTTACTGTGTCTGGCATATCCAATACTCTCGGTAGCTTGCCGGGCTCTCAGGTCTGAGGGGCGTGCGGGAAAGTGTGTGTATGTGTGTGTGTGTGTGTGTGTGTGTGTGTGTGTGTGTTCTAGCTGTGTGCACATGTGTTAGGGTTCAGTGGAGCAATGAAACCAAATTCCAATGTCATTTCCAGGCTTGAGGGACACACCCACCCCAAGGCAAGGTCTTCTCTCCACATGACAGATAAGGAAACTGAGGCTCCTGGGCTCCTCTAAGTTACAGCTCTCATTGCCACAAGTGGGGGGTGGGGAGGGCAGTTAGGACAGAGAAGAGACCACTATGACAATGATAGTGGGAAATAATCACTCTGGACAAGAACAGAGTGCTGAAGCAAGGTAAAGGAACATATATGATATAATTTAATTTTTTTTTTTTTTTTTTGCTTTTTGGGCCACACCCGGCGATGCACAGCGGTTACTCCTGGCTCTGCACTCAGGAGTTACTCCTGGCGGTGCTCAGGGGACCATATGGGATGCTGGGAATCGAACCCGGGTCGACTGCGTGCAAGGCAAACGCCCTACCCGCTGTGCTATATCTCCAGCCCAATTTTTTTTCTTTTTGGGTCACACCCGGGGATGTACAGGGGTTACTCCTGGCTCTGCACTCAGGAATTACTCTTGGCGGTGCTCAGGGGACCATACTGGATGCTGGGAATTAAACCTGGGTCGGCTGCATACAAGGCAAATGCCCTACCCGCTGTGCTATCGCTCCAGCCCCCAGCCAAATATGATAGATAACCTTTCAGCATCTGTATTACAAACTATAATGTAAGAGAGACAGGGAATTGTGTGCGTGGGGGGAGAGCGAGAGCGAGAGTGAGAGGGAGAGAAAGAGAGAAGAGAGAGAGGAGAGAGAAAGAGAGAAAGGAGAAAGAGAGAGAGGAGAGAAGGGAGACCATGAGGGTAGACAGAGAGGGAGAGAAAACACCATAGAGGCAGGTTGAGGGGTGGGGGTGGGAGAGAAACTTCGACAAAGGTGGTGGTGATGTCAGTGGAGCCCCACGGGTGGCTTATGTGAGATGAGGAGAGATGGACACTTTTTCCCAATCCAACTCTGCCACCCTGAGACCCTGAGAAGACTAGGACCAAAAAATTTCGAGATGAGCCCCTCTTGTGGCCATCAAGCCACACATTGCTTGGTCTAGTTGATCCCTGCTATCTGATTTCTCTGGGAGCCATGAACTCAGGTTGGAGTGAGGACTTGCTCTCTTCAGGAAAGGAAAGTCAGGACTTCCCCGGGGTTTTATGAGTTCTTGTCTTGCCTTGCAGAAGAGAATTTTATTGGTAGTTTTTTTTTTTTTTTTTTTTTGCTTTTTGGGTCACACCCGGAAATGCACAGGGGTTACTCCTGGCTCATGCACTCAGGAATTACTGAATTACTCCTGGCGGTGCTTGGGGGACCATATGGGATGCTGGGAATCGAACCCTGGTCGGCCGCGTGCAAGGCAAACGCCCTACCCTCTGTGCTATTGCTCTAGGCCCCAGAAGAGAATTTCAAGTGTAGATGAGCAGTGAAGATTTTATTAAGAGGTTTTGAGGAAGGGGAAGGAGGGGGAGAAAGCGTAATTCGATCAGAGAAAGCACCTGGGCTTCCCCAAGGGCAGAATCTCAACACACATGCCACAATCAGATAGGAAAGTACACATCTAGAGAAGGGAGATGCGGGCGCCACTTGTGCTTGGGTACCACATGTGGGCTTGGGCAGCATATGAGCCCTTCCTTTGTTCAAGGTGGTTTTTCCAGGCTACTCCCTATGTGGGGCTTTCTAGCTAGATAAGAGTCTGTTGATAGTGTTGTTGCTAAGTGGGTAGAGTTGGGAGTGGTCTTCTTTGAATTCCTTTTCTTGACCTTTGCTCCTGCTAGATCTTTTCTGGGAGGGTCAGTCCAGCCTTACCTGGTCTAGGCTAGCTGAAGGTTAATTGGATTAAAGGAAGGAATTGAGGGTTCTCCAGTAATTTCCTTGAGGCTCTTTCTTGTAGGGAGGGGTCCGGTCTCCTCAGGGTCTGCTGCTGGAGAAGGTCTTATCAGGTCCTGCGTTCTGTATCCAAAAGTGGGTCAGGTTTAGGACTATGACTTTATTACCTCCCAGAAATTTCATTGCCATGATGCGTGTGTGTGTGTGTGTGGGGGGGGGGGGGGGGGCGGGGGAACTTCTCTTGTCCACCTGCCTACATCAGTGGGAAACGTGCACAGGTGAAGGGATGGGTATTGGAACATTCTATGACTGAAACCCAGTCATGAAAAACTTCGTAACTGTGTAAGAACACATAAACAAAATAAATACATTCCAACTCTGCTTGTTTGGAAGGAAGACCCTATCCCCTAAGGCATAACGGGTCGCCCCCAGCCCACTACTCCTGCTCCTGCGTTCACCCTTTGCTCCTGGGACCTCGTCCCTCCGCTCTGACAGTGCCCCGGGTCCCCCTGGATCCTGGGACCGTGTCCCCGGGGTGCAGGAGGCGCAGCGCGCGCGCGCGCGCCGCAGAGAGCCGGGGTGGTCGGCTCGACCCGGGGTCCGCGCCCCGCGCGCCTGGGTGCTGCCGGGGGGTGCAGGGTTAACGGGGCGGGGCCGGGAGGGCGGGGCCGGGGCTGCGGCCGCACCTGGCGGCTCCGGGGCCCGGGGGAACGGCCCCACCACGTCGGAGCGAGCGGCGGCGGCGGCGCCATGGCCGAGTTCCCGTCCAAAGTGAGCACGCGAACCAGCAGCCCGGCGCAGGGCGTCGGCGCCTCGGTGTGGGCGCTGCGCCCCGACCTGGCCTTCCTGCGCTCCAGCCTCGGGGTGCTCATGCTGCTGCAGCTGGTGAGCGAGCGGGGGGCGCGCCCGGAGCGCGAGGGGGCCGCTCTCGCCATCCCTCTCTGCCTGTGCACCCCCAAACACGGAGCGCGAGGGGGCTGCCCCCTCCCCACCCCTCTATCCCTGCGCACCCCCACGCCCGGAGCGCCAGGGGGCTGCTCCGTCCCCACCCCTTTCTCCCTGTGCACCCCCAAACCCGGAGCGCGCGGAGGCCGCTCTCCCCGCACCCCGCACCCTTCTCTCCCTGCTCACCCCCACGCCCGGAGCGCCAGGGGACTGCTCCCTCCCCACCCCTTTCTCTCTGCGCGCCCCCCAGCCCGGAGCGCCAGGGTGCCGCTCCTCCCGTCCCTCTCTCCTTGCGCGCCCCCAAGCCTAGGACCCCGCGTGCCACCCCACGAGCGCGCACAGTGCTCCCCGTGCTCAGAGTGACCCCCGCGCCGATGTCCATCACGCCCCCCGCGCCGGGTTGGGGCTTCAGAAACCATCCCCTGTCCTGGTCACTGCGCATCCCTCGGTCGCTCGCTCCATCTCTTCGCCAGGACGGTGACCCCAGTCCTGCAGGGATCCCAGCCTGAGCGGGAGTCCACTCCTGGCCGGCAGCACCTTCGCCGCACCTGCCCTGTCCATTCCGGCAAGTCCACACGACACGGCCCTCCCGATCCCGTCGCGGGAGCCGGGCGCGTCCAGCTCCTGCTGGGTTTCGGGCCGGGCTGCAGCCGGTTTGGTTGGACGTGCAGGACCCCAGACAGGGCGCCCGGCGCTGAGGGCAGGGAATCGGGGAGGGGGCGTCCGGGTCCACCGCACACACCCCTGCGCCCTCCACACTTAGGTTTCAGTGCTGGGGGCTGGGCTTTCATAGCCGCCTTTCGAAACTGTGGGGGAGCTGGCCTGGAGAGTCCGGCCTTCTCCCGAGGACAAGGACGGGACGAGGATGGGATTGAGGTCCGCCCTGCATGTACCGCGCTTCCTGCCGTAGGTCCTTGCGGGGGGGGGGGGGGGGAGCCGCAGCCCTGAGTGGAAGGAGGGTGGGGTGGTCAGAGCAAACTTCCCAACGGTCCCCTCCTCGCCTGCCTCTTCCTCCCTCTCGCTGGGGACTTCCAAACGCCCCTTCCGTCCCACCCTCAAAGACCCCTGCAGGGGTTATTTAAAATAAGCTTCACTGTCCCCGGCGCTGGACAGAGAATGTGCAAAATGGCAGGAAAAGCCACTGCAGGAAATCTCTTCTGGAGGTATCTAGCTCCCAGAGTCAGCTTTGGTCGGAGGAGTCGCCCGAGGGGGGAGGGGTCGGTCCTGTTTCCCCCCCAGCCTTGAATCTGTAGGTGAGGGCTGAGCCATTGCTCAGTGGGGAGCGCCGCTGGCCTTACATGTGGCTGACCCAGGTTCCATCCCTGACCTAAATCTGTGGGTGGGAAGAAATGGATGTGCCAAGCTCTCCGCGGGGTTCCAGGGGTGTCAAAGAGAACAGTTCTGAGTTCCCAGGGCCACTGGGAGATGGTTCTGGTTGGGGGCAGGGATGTCTCTGAGATGAGGCTGGCCGGGGGTGGGGTGGGGTGGGGTGGGGTAGGGTGGTGCAGGGTGGTGCAGTGGTGGCTGCCCGGAGCCCAGCGTTCGGGGGTGGAGTGATATAGCAGGGAGCTGCAGGTTGAGAGCCGACAAATGGTGGGTGAAGCTGCAGTTGTTTCTGGGGTGACCTGTTGCTAGAAGCCTTGGGGTTCTCTAGGAAATGGTGACCCAGGGGCGGCCTTGAGAAGTGCTCGGACAGTGTAGGGGCCCAGCCCAGGGAGGACTGGAGCCCTGTGGGGGAACAACTCCGGTTATTCCTTTTGTTTGTTTGTTACCTGCCTTCTCTTTTAATTGAATCACTGTGAGATACAGTTACAAAGCTTTCATGACTGAGTTGCAGTCATACCAGGCTGGAACACCCATCCCTCCACCAGTGCGCATTTTCCACCACCAATGTCCTCAGTATCTTTTCCGCCACCCCCACCTGGCCCTACCCCCTGCCTCTGTGGCAGGCACCTATCCTCTTACTCTCTTGTCTACTTTTGGGCATTATGGTTGACAATACAGACCCTAAGAGGCCATCATGTTTGGTCCTTTGTCGTCTTTCACACACATCTCCCGTCTAACTTGGGTTATTCCTGCTTGGACCACCTACGCCTCTTTATAGGACAGTTCTGTAAAGAACCTTTTGCAGGGTTTCCAGTTCTCACATTGATAGTTTTAATTCTGAGTTTTTTGGGGTCTTGTTTGGAGCCACACAAATAGGTCCCTGTTTTGTCATTTGAATATGAGATTGGGGATGAGGGCAGGAGAGGCCCTGGGGTTAGAGTCTGCTCTGTCTCAGCCCACTCTAGGAGGCTGTGTTTCTGATTTGGGGGTCCCAGGGGAGCACAGGGGCCCGATCCTAGCACAGATGTGGATTCGGGGGTCCAGATGGAAGGTCGGACCCGCCTTGTGGGAGCGTGGACACTTTGGTTTCTTTCCATTTTTTTTTTTCTTTTTGGGTCACACCCGGCGATGCACAGGGGTTACTCCTGGCTCTGCACTCAGGAATTACTCCTGGCAGTGCCTGGGGGACCATATGGGATGCTGGGACTCGAACCCAGGTTCATAGTTTGCAAGGCAAATGCCCCACCCACTGTGCTATCGCTCCAGCCCCTAATTTTATTCTGTTTTTTTTTTTTTTTGGCTTTTTGGGTCACACTCGGCATTGCACAGGGGTCACTCCTGGCTCTGCACTCAGGAATCACTCCTGGCTGCTGCTCAGGGGACCATATGGATGCTGGGAATCAAACCCGGGTCGTCCGCGTGCAAGGCAAACGCCCTACCCGCTGTGCTATCGCTCCAGCCCCCCCTAATTTTATTCTTAAAAAAATTGATTTAATTTTATTCTTAAAAATCTTATGAATGTATTTGCTTTTAAAAAAAATCTTATGAATGTATTTGCTTTTTAAAAAAATCTTATGAATGTATTTGCTTTTTAATAAAAATCTTATGTATTTGCTACAACACCCGGCAGGCCTCAGGGCTTACTCCTGGGCTCTGTGCTCAGGGATCACTCCTGGCAGTGCTCAGGGGATGATATGGGGTGCCGGGGATCAAACCTGGGCTGGGGGTATGCAAGCAAGACAGGTGCCCTATGTGCTGTACTATCACCCCGGCCCCTTTAATGTATGTTTAAAATAAATTTGTTAATTTGGGGGAGGGTGGTGGTGTAAACCTGGCAGTGTGGCCTTACTCCGTGCTCTGTGCTCAGGGATCAGTCCCAAGGAATTCTGGGTACTAGGGATCAAATTGGCATGTCAGCTGCTTGCCAGGCAAGTGCCATCCCCCACTGTTCTCTCTCTCCCCCCGACCTTGAAATTTGTCATTGTTGACGTTGGTGATGGTGGTGGTGTGTGGGGTGTGTATAGAGGGATTGGACATCAATCCAGGATCTCTAGCAAGTTTAAGATCTTATTGGGGCTGGTTGTGGGGGACAGGCTCAATGAGCTGGGGGGTGCCTCCTCTCTCCAGGTGGGGTGGGGGAACTGGCCCCAGAACCAACTCCAACTGCAGGACAGTAGCTGAGAGAAGGTGTGGGGGTCGGGAGGGGGGATCAGAGGCTGAGAATGCTGCTGGGTTTGCTGCCGGCACTGAGACTTGGGGGTCCCATCTCCCTGCTCCGACCTTCTTGGTCCGTTGCTCTCCCACTGTCCCTTCAGGGCTGTGTGTTACACAGCAAACACTGACACGATCTCCCTAAAACACAGAAGCCCTGTGCAGACACTGCTCGGGTTATTCTTGGACCATCTACGCTGCCAGTAGAGGTGATTTGAGCATAGAGGTCCTGATGGCATTTCTGTTCTCACAAGGATGCTTTTATTATTTCTGTCTTGTTTGGGGCCACACCCGGAAGTGCTCAGGGGCTGTTCCTGGCTCTGTGCTCAGAGATCACTCCTGGCACCGCATGGTTGGGGGTGCTCGTTGAGCTGTAACTGAACCCAGGCCTCCTGCATGCAAAGGAGTGAGGACTTTTGTCCTCACTTTATCTTGCTCTTTATCAGATAAGAGCAAGCACCTTATCTGCTCTATCCTAGCTCTCCAGCCCACTTTTTCATTTTTCCAAGTCACACAAGGTAGTCACACTAGGGGAGGCTAGGGAGTTGCTCCCAGTAGTGCTCAGGAGTCTGGGAGGTTCTAGGGATCAAACCCAGCTCTTCAGACATTTATCCTCAGTCCATGTACTTGCCCACTGAGCGCTCCCTCAGGCCTGATGCTGTTATTATTCTGCACCCCGTGTTCAGCAAGGAGCCCTCCTCACAGCGCATGTGCTCCCCTTCTCTTCCTGCTAGACAAAGCTGCCTCCTGTTTCTCTCTGGGGCACATCCCAGAGCGTCCCTGAGCCTGGCTCAGCTAGCTCTCTATCAATGAGTATATTTTATTTATTTTTTTAAATTTATTTTTGTTTGTGGGCCATACCCAGCGATGCTCAGGATGTTAACTCCTGGCTCTGCACTCAGGAATTATTTCTGATGGTGCTCGGGGGACCGTTTGGGGTGCCGGGGATTGAATCCAGGTGGGCTGCGTGCAAGGCAAACACCCTTCCCGCTGTGCTATCGCTCCGACCCCTGAACATATTTTAAAGAAGTTGTTTTAGATTTCAGAATGAGGCAAAGTCACGGCGGAACATCCAGACGGTGCAGAGGATTCAGTGAAGTGCTGCCTCTCGCTGACCACCGCTGCCCTTGCCAGGCAGCCACCCCCAGGAGCTGGCATTCCAGGGGAGCCTGGCCTCCCGCCATGCATCTCCCCATCCTCACTCGGAGGGGAGAGCTCCGTGCTGGCAGCGTGTCCGGGATGTTTTGTGTCAGTGCGTGTCACACTGTGCACTTTGTTTCCGTCTTTGATCTACTTGACTTCTTTAATAGGTAATATATTTACAACACTCACAATAGGGTAGCAAAGAACACAGTACAATTTTCTGCCTTTGGGTTAGAGTGTGTACACATACATACATGTGG